CCCCAAAACCCCAAAACCCCAAAACCCCAAAACCCCAGAAGAGATAAATGATGTTGATATATATAATAAGAATAAGTTTTAGGAATATGTTAAGGGTGATCAAACCGAAGGATATCAATAACAGGGTAAGTAAAAGCTAGAAGATAGTAAAAGAAATCTAAGATTTGTAGAAAATAAGTTTTAGAGCATATTTAGAGCCTTTTTGAAGAAGGGAGAGTAAACAGGATTGAATTTTGACTCTATGGGTGGGAATTAAAGATGTTGTGTGATTAATTGAATTTTAATTTAGGACCTGATGATTTCAAGCTTTGAGAAAGAGTAGGAAAATAATACACCTTCCAGAGGTTAATATAGGTCTAAAATTTGCCGGAATTAAGAATTTTTTGAATTGCAGAATAATTTATACCAGTACTTTCATATAAATTTCAATACAATTCTATCATACGTGTTTGTCCTTAACTTCTCTCACTAATCATGTAAAAAAGCCCAATTCTGGGATCCAAAATTATCCGAATGAATGAAAAACATGAGAGTCGGCTAATGCTCTCTTCTAAATTTATGTTATGAAATTACTGAAAATGCCTCAAAATAAGACCTTTCAGTGAAGCCTTCATCAAAAGAGTCTTAGGAATGATGTGTTAATCAGCATCTTAGAGAAGTTAAAAAGCAAATTTTGGGCAAGCGGTACTATGAAATGCTGCTAATATACCCTCATGATATACAAGAATAGTAACTTTCTTCACCATGGTTGCTCGTTGCTAAATTTGCTGTAACAAAGCGAACTTTAAAAATAACCAGAAGTCAAGAATTTAGGCTGGCAACTACTGGATAAAAGCATTCATCCTCTTTTAGCTATTTCCCAATAATCTAAATTTTATCAGCAAGTTTTAGGCGTCTAAAATGTCTAATTGAACATAGGTCTCCTAAAAAGATAATATCTTCAAAACTTGCTTTACCAAACAGAAGCGAATCTTCGATTTCCAGTGATGAAGACTGACTAATTTCGCCTTGTGCAAGAGGCTATGTCCAATATGGTGGTAGGTACTCTTCCAAGATCAATGTCAATAATCCTATAGAGAGCAGGAACATCTACATTGTAGAGAACACTAATAAAAGGGTAAACTGGACCAATGCAGATATTATCCCAGATCATGATACAATAGCCGAATTGGTCAAAGAGAAATTGCATATCAAGGAAGAATTTGTCCTATATGACAAATAATGGATGTGAAATTTTCAAGGATGATTACAACCATCTTAGACACAACGAGTGCATCTACGTCTGCCCTATTTCAAAAGATTTTAACTACTTTTGCCTTCTGGATATGTACACAAAATCATGCAAACTCGGTTCAGGAGGATTTGGTAATGTCTATAAGCTAAAACACAAACTTAATAAAGAGATTGTGGCTGCCAAATTCGTCCGTGTGTCTGAATACCTTCATAAAGCTGACACTATCCAGCAAATTCTGAAGGAAGCCCAGTACTTGATGACTCTAGATCACGAGAACATCCTTAAGCTCCAGACTGCCTTCCTGATAAACCAGGAGATCGCTATTATTACTGAATATATCCCTGGTGGGGAGCTGGGGAAGTACCTTGAGAAGCAAGATGAACCTATGACTGAAATCCAAGCATGCGCAGTCATGCATGAACTAGTCAAGGCAATGGTTTACGTACATTCCAAGAAAATTTTACACAGAGATCTCAAGCTTGAGAACATTCTTCTCCAAGATCCTAAGAACCCTTGCTCAGTGAAGATTATTGATTTCGGATTGGCTTCATTATGCAGTAATAATGAATACGGGATGTCGGGTACTCTCTTGTACTCCCCTCCTGAACTTCTGAGTGGTAAGAGTAAAAAGTCTAGCAACAAGGCTGACGTCTGGTCGCTTGGAATAATCCTATACATACTTCTCACCAAGAAGTTCCCGTTTGAAGGGACTACCGATGCAAAAACCAAACACTGAATCTGTAATCAGAAGCTTAAATTCCCGAAGGATCTCAAGATCTCTAGTGAGCTGGAGGATTTGATAATAAATATGCTTGAAAAGGACCCAAGAAAGAGGTTCAATATAAACCAAGTGGGCCTCCACTCGTGGCTTGAAATGAACAAGGAGTAAGCCACCCTCATAATTTGTAGGAAAATTAAGAAAAGAAATCTGTTTAAGCCAAAGAATAACTTCCTCAAGCCTAAAGGCTTGATGCCAACCGGAGAATTACAATCAGGAGTCAGTAAGAATTTGGGACACCTTATGTCTCCATTGGATCCATATAAGAGATCCTCAAGAGCTTCTCGTAAGAGATTAGTAAAAGAGACAAAGCCTGGTATAAGTAAAACAGGTTTTAAACTAATGTGCTCTCCAGCCAGTAAGAACTTGAATCCAGTCTCACCGAAGAATAAGAATGCTGACATTTTGAAGAACGTAGATATCAAAGTACCCTTTTCTGACGCAAAGATGGACCGCCAAAATGGAATCCAGATAATGCTGAGTAGCCTCAGTTCAATAAAGCATTCTAAAAAGAAAAATACTAAAAAAAAATAGAGCAAAAAGAAGGGATTTCAGTAATAAAAGGACAAGGAAACATGGATCAGAACAACGAGCAAATCGGCCGAAGCCTGCAAAGAAGGAGTTATATACAGAAGCCAAGATTAGAAACCTTCTTGTTGCCGAGCAGCTTCCAACAACAATTTATTACCAGACTTGGCTGAAGCAGTACATTCAGCGCCACCACGAAGAGGACCTTAACCTGAACATATGTTTTGAAGAGATGCGACGGAAGATTTCGAAATCTAACGAGAGGGCAATCATGTTTTCTCCTGATCAAAGCAGGATGCGGAAACCGATGAGTAATACTAGGATTACTGAATTTGTGGATTCATTTCATACAACTAAGAAAATAGCTCCACAGATAGTCACTCCTACACCTCCATACAGGAGAGGAAGCATGCTGACTAATTTTAAGCAGTCAAATTTGTCTCCTCCTGACATAATAAGGAATAGTGTAAGCAGAACTTCATAACAAACTTAGAGTTTTTATAACTTTTTACTCTAGAGTCCAGCTGAGAGCACATCCAATCAGACAAAGCAGGAAGGCATAGCAAGAAATATTCGAAAAGATAAGAGGTTGTTCAAGAAACTTCGGGATGTAGACTCAAGTCATTTGAAATCTCCTATGCAACTGGTGAATATTACTCCGAATAAGTCAAGCATGAAAGGGAACTTATCTGAGTTTAGAAATTTACACTTGCTAAAGCGGAATTTTCTCTCTTCAAATACTTTAGAAAAAGTATTGCTTAAATAATCGTAGGTGTCGGCTAATAACTCTTTAGCTAGGTTCAACCAAAGTGGGATCGCTAATAGTCCAAATTATGTGAGAGCCAATAGACAAAGATTGCTGAGCAATACGGCCTGCAAACCTGGTCAAGATCTTGAGATCAGTTGTGGCAGAGGTAATAAGTACCTTCAGAATGGACTTAAGAAAGAATCTAATATCTTCAATTTCACTGGGTCCGAGAAAAGCTCATGGAGGCCCAATCTCAACTCCCGAAGAGGATTAAGAGCAGATGTCTCGAGACGTAGAAAACCAAGCAAAATAGCCAACCTGAGGATGTTGGTCAAGCAGAACACTAAATATCTAGATGATGAGTACCTAAATGATATCAATGAGCGGATAGACAGCTAGCCCAAAATTTACATCTTAGTAGTAAATATTTATTAAATTTACCCAAATCTGGGGTTTTGGGGTTTTGGGGTTTTGGGGTTTTGGGGTTTTGGGG